TGGATATGGATAAAAGTTAAAGTAATAGTGATTATACAAAGAATGAAATGACTTTTCAATTTTTAAATTCTTTTTATATGCAGACCTGACAAAATATTTTTAGTAGATTATTTAGAATAACTGCCCTTTCCTATGAAGAAGTACAGTCTAGTGATATACTTCTTCATTTGTTGCTATGTATTTATCTTTCTTTAGTAAATTCTTTAATTTACTTATTTGCAAAAGTATTTAAACATCTCTAGATGGCTCAATATTTTTTAATGTTCTCTTTGACATACATGAGCATAGAAATATTTTTCTAATTTATAAACTCATAGATATGAAGAAATTTTCTTATTAGAAAACAACTACCTTTATTGTCAGGTAGTAACTTAAAAACTGGTAAAAGTTAGCTTTATAGACACTAGCCTGTCATGACTTGATATCCTGTTATTTGGGTCAAATTTTCATTTGAATGACATTTTCATTGTTCTTAAGGTGAAAAATGCATCTGCAAACCACAATTAGCTATAGAGTTCGTGGGCAAATAGTCACTGTCTAGTCAACATGAAAAATACCCTATTTGTTTTTTAGGTATCTACACTAATAAAAGAGAAACATGGTAATTAGCATAGGACCGCTACCCTTCCCATTGGCTAATCAGCATATCCTTATGCAAATTAACTGTCAGCCAAGATGGCGGCCGGCAGCCATAATTTATAAACTCATAGATATGAAGAAATTTTCTTATTATAAAACAACTACCTTTATTGTCAGGTAGTAACTTAAAAACTGGTAAAAGTTAGCTTTATAGACACTAGCCTGTCATGGCTTGATATCCTGTTATTTGGGTCAAATTTTCATTTGAATGACATTTTCATTGTTCTTAAGGTTAAAAATGCATCTGCAAACCACAATTAGCTATAGAGTTCGTGGGCAAATAGTCACTGTCTAGTCAACATGAAAAATACCCTATTTGTTTTTTACTCGTATTTCTATAATTATAAACATGAAATAATTATAAACATGAAACAATAAATCCACAGCAATCAATATAGTAACTGAAATGTGACACTTTTTCATATGTCTCTCTGTCAGCCTTTAAGAGTATTCTGCCGAATGCTAGTATTTCTCCAGGTGCTTCTTGGAAAATAAGACTCTATGAACAAATGTTTGGGAAATGGTGGATTCAACAAAGTAAAGCAAATTATTTTACTTTTGTTTCAGTGTCAATCTGCCAGAGGAATCTTAATTTGAGTGCTGAGCTCATTATTTTGTGTAATATCTCATGGGACTAAAGATATTGCACAGGATACATTTTGGAAAATACTTGTTCAATTTACAAACATTTTACATGGAAAAACTTAAATGAAATAATACAAACCATAGTCCACCTGCCCTCTGATACTCTAAGCGGAAGATGGGGCTGCAAGGCCAGGTGCCTTCTTGGGAAGGGAAGAGACAGGGCTGCCACAATCTTCCATTTGCCCTACTATTAGAGTGCTATTCTTTTAGTCTTTAAAAGAATCCAAATTGAAGCAACAACAAAAAAGGGAAGAAGAATGAAAATATATTTTCTAGTATACTAGTAAAAATAAAATTGTAGTTTTTATGTTGGTTTATTATATGATGAGCTTAGAAAACAGCTATTTGCAAATCAGAATAATTGCCCTTTTCCTATGAAGTCATTCTGGAGGGTAAAGATTGCTTTTCTTCTATGTGAATTACTTGATTTTCTTAAAGAAAAAACAAAATGAAAATAAGGAAACCCCTGAAAAATTTGAATACAGATGTCTCCAAAAGGGTTATTGTTCCTAGGAGATCCCCCCCTCAATGTGTCTCATAATCTTTGTATAATTTATAAATGATAACAAAGCAATCAGGCCACATTCATAAAAGTCCAGTGACACATAATTTAGTTGAATCTGAGGATTAGAATTAATTGTCTCTCTTTGTTCCAAGTTCTAAATCTTAGTAAATGATTCACTGCATGTCATTACAGCTTAATATTTGCATGAAATCACAGTTTAGCTGGCACAATTTAACAGCAATTAAAAAGCTATTTAATTGTCATGCAAATTGATATGAGGACCCTTGAGTAAGAAGGGTATCTGCCTTTTTTTTTTTAAGTATCTCCAAGCGGACAGTCATATACTTGCAGACACCCATAACATAATTGATAACATTCTTCCTATTCAGGGAAATATAAGTGAATAATAATTTATGATCTCCATTATAAATAAGACAAAAGAGCAACAATATGAATATGCCATCTGTAGGAAGACATTATTATGGTAATGATAATGTATCTTTATCTCCCAGGCATAAGTCTAGGTTGGAGGTAAAAGCTACACTTGTCCCTGTGCTCTAGTTTATAATCCCTTCCATATCTTCCTTTCTGAAGGCAGACATTTCTGTAGCTCTCTGGAACATAAAATGCATAAAGCAACTTATGCAGAAACCTTTTAGGAAAACTAACCATCTCATTTCTAGGTCTAGATGGCTGAGGCCCCTACCCATCATATTGATGATATCAGGAGCCAGCAAAATGAAAAAGGAAAATAGCCCTGGCCAGTTTGGTTCAATGATTAGAGCATCGGCCTGTGGACCAAGGTTCAATTCCTGGTCAAGTACATGCACCTGGGTTGCAGGATCCCCTCCCTGGTTGGAGCGTGTGCCAGAGGCAACTGATTGATGTGCCTCTCTCATATCTGTTTCTGTCGCTCTGTCTCTCTCCTTCCCTCCCTTCCACTCTCTCTAAAAATCAATAGAAAAAAATATCCTCAGGTGAGGATTAACCAAAAAAAAAAGGAAAATATATAATAACACTTCTTATATCTCAAACCCAATACACAGTCATGTAGATTATGACTAATGTTATGCTACTCTGACACCGTCCATATAACAGATCTCACTGAGGAGTTCCCTGCCCTCATTAAGGCCCTTCCCTACACAAACACTCTTTTTTAAAAAGATTACTTCATGGTGGCCAAGACATGGAAGGAACCAAAGTATTCTTCAAAGATGATTGGATAAAGGAGATGTGGTACATATATAAAATGGGAAACTATTCAGCCATAAGAAAAGGTGAAATACTTCCATTTGCAACATGGATGGATCTTGAGGATACCATGCTAAGTAAGATAAGTCAGACAGAAAAAGTCAAGAATTATTTAATTACTATGAAAATTCATGCACTGGCGGGGGGGTCCCTCAGCCCTGCCTGCCTCCTCTCACAGTCTGGGAGCCCTCAGGGGTGGGAGGCGACCCGGTGATCAGGGGAAGGCGACGCCCCCCATCACACCTCTGCTGCTGCCACTTCCGGCAGCCCAAGCCTCGGCCAGCCCTGGTTACCTGAGCCTCATGCAGCCCTGGGTGGCTGGGCAGCCAACATCCAAGGCTTGCCTGTGCCTTGGGCTGGCCCTGGGTGGTTGGGGGGCTGAGGGGACTGGGGAACTCTGGAGGCAGGCACACGGCAAGGCCGCGTGTGGGACCCCCCCATATCCTATATAATAAAGATGTAATATGCAAATTAACCCTCATGCCCTCACAAGATGGCTGCCTACGACCAGGCCGGCAGGGGGTTTAGTGAGGGACGACCAAACAACTGAACAGCAGACAGCGTGGGGCGACCAGGCCATCAGGGGGGTAGCTGGGGGGTCAACCAGACCAGTGGTGTGGGGTGCAGTTAGGGGTGACCAGGCCAGCAGGGGGGCAGTTAAGGGAAATCAGGCTGGCGGGAGGGTGGTCAGGCTGGCATGCTGAGGCAGTGAGGGGCGATCAGGCCAGCACGGAGGGGGGAAAATTAGGGGCAACCAGGCAGGCAGGCAGGTGAGCGATTAGGAGCCAGCAGTCCAGGATTGTGAGAGGGATGTCCAACTGCTGGTTTAGGCCCAATCCCCAGGATCCGGCCTAAACCGGCAGTCAGACATCCCCCGAGGGGTCCTGGATTGGAGAGCGTGTAGGCTGGGCTGAGGGGACCCCCTCCCATGCACAAATTTTGTGCACCTGGCCTCTAGTATATTATAAACATAATCTCACAAAAAGGATTCTTTGGTATTTCACATATAACCCATATTGCAGTGTTTGATACCTAGTAGAACTTCAGTTAGTATTTTTCAATAAATAATATTATACTGAGGTTTGAAAGACTCAGATGAGTGTAAAAGATTATTGATAAAACTTAAAGAAAAGGCTGGAAGAGTTAAAGGATTTAAGTATGGAAAAATAGTGAGAAGGAACACTGAGGGAACATGCTCACCTACTCCTTGGGACCAACTTGGTTTATGCAGAGTCTTAATGACAAATAAGAGATTGTGAAGGTCTTTTTATCAGCTTTTCCGAAAACACTTGTGCTTAATAAAGTTAGTCTCAATAAGAATCTAGTCACCATTTCTTATGTCCTTTTTCTCTTCCAAATAATGCTTTTATCCCATGAAATTGGCAAGGCTCTAATAGAAACCTTTTTCCTCCCTCCAGTTTCCCTTTCTCTTCCTCTTCTTCCAAACTTTCTTTTCACCCTAAATTTATGGTCATTTATTTTCAACCTGTGAGAAACAGATACTTAGGGATTGTCAAAGGTAATGAATGGTAGTTTTATCTACATACCAAGCATAGTATGAAGACTGAAGGACTGAGTACATGAATATACATGTATTGTTATAACTTATACTTATGTTAATATTCCTTTTTAATTATTTGAAAATGGTGAAGTAATTATTAAGATGTAATCAAAACCTTCACATAATTTAAAATGTTTGATTATTATATATTTCCAATCCCCAAATTTAGAAAAATAGAATTGCCATATTAGATTCTAGACTATCTTCACTCCTAAAGACTCCTTTCTTACTGGACTTAATCAGATGTTAATAACCATAGGTTCTTTATGGTTCCCATCAGAAGAAAGAGCTCAAACTAATATAAAAGACCAATAAGTGTTTATTGATGAAGTTTTCAACTTAGCACTATTAATTCACTGTCCTATACATGTACATTTGTTTTTAATTGCTTTTCTCTAGGGCCACCTTCAGCTCCTAGGAATGTGGTTTTTAACATCAATGAAACAGCCCTTATTTTGGAATGGAGCCCACCAAGTGACACAGGAGGGAGAAAAGATCTCACATACAGTGTAATCTGTAAGAAATGTGGCTTAGACACCAGCCAGTGTGAGGACTGTGGTGGAGGACTCCGCTTCATCCCAAGACATACTGGCCTGATCAACAATTCCGTGATAGTTCTTGACTTTGTGTCTCACGTGAATTATACCTTTGAAATAGAAGCCATGAATGGAGTTTCTGAGTTGAGTTTTTCTCCCAAGCCATTCACAGCCATTACAGTGACCACAGATCAAGACGGTAAGTGCCACTACTCTTCTCTCAAAACAGACCCATAATTCCCTTCTGATGCATAACATTCTTGGTGGACCTATATTTACTAAAGTGCAATTGCATTCTCTATACATTACAGAGGCGATTTTCTGGTTGTTGTTTCTTGTTGTTTCCTAAGGTGCAGAAAGATATTTTTGATGTTTCCTCTTAGTAGTAAGTTAATTAGATACAGTGCTTCTCTCTGTTGTTTATACATTTATGTTTTTTATATAATCCTATATAATCCAATATATCTTAATGTGTCAGTTCATATCACTAATGAATGTTAGACATAAAAAATATTAAATGAATCGAAATTGTGTTGCCCCAGTTATGCTGCCATCCCTTTTCCACATCAAATAAAGCAAATAGTAAGAATTTATGTTAATTATAATTTATATCTATATAGTGAAAAGATTTTAGTCAACATACTTAACCATGATCTACTCTGAAAATAAATAGAAAACAATCCAGAATATGTCCAAATGCTGCTATTTAGGTGCAGTTTGTAAAAAGTAGTTAAACTGTATATTTTTTAAAAAATCCAGTTGCTTTCAGTTAAATGTTCTCTTTATAACGCTATAGATTTTTACCGCAATGAAGTTAGGTGCAAATACTCCTATAATTTTTATATGTGTCTATTCTCTTTAATTCTTCCATAATAATAATATATTGCAGAGCAATAAAGGAAAAGCTTCAGAGATTTTAAAAATTCCCTTTGAGAAGCATTCATAAATTATGTGGATACACAAATGATTCTCTTATGAAAGAAAGCATTGTTGCATATGAATATACATATGAAACAAATTTAAAAAGATAAAAACTGTGTTCATACACTGTATTTATTCTTCTAGGTCTGTTATAACAGATGCCATAGACTAGGGACTTGAACAACAGAAATTTATTTTCTCACAGTTCTGGAAACTAGAAGTCTGAGATCAAGGTGTCAGCAGGGTTGAACTCATTCTGAAGCCTGTCTCCTTGGCTAGTGGATAGCCATTTTCTCCCTGTGTCTTCACATGGTCTTTCCTCTGTGTGTGTCTGTATCCAAGTCTCTTCTTCTTATAAGGTTATTGTCGTATTGGATAAAAGCCTACGATGTGATTTTATTTTACCTTCGTTACCTCTTTAAAAACCCTGTCTCCAAATATGGTCACATTCTGAGGTACCAAGGTTAGGACTGAAGCATGAATTTTGGGAGGATGCAGTTGAGACCATAACATGCACTTAAAGCAACATATATTGATATTTTAAATAAAAGTATATTGAAAGTGTTGGAATACAACTAAGCAATTAAAAGACTATTGATACAAGCTCTTGGATTAACTTTAAGGGCACAGTGGTGAGTATAAAAGCCAATCTCAAAAGTGGCATACTATAGGATTCACTTGTATAGCATTCTTGAAATAGCACAATTGGAGAATTTATTAGTGTCTGGGGACTAGTGATTAGTAGAGAGATGTGAATCAATAATTATTGGGGGGAGGGGTTTAAAAAACATTGCTAAACCTATAAAATGTGCAAGAAGAAATTTTAATATTCTACTAAAACGTATTTGAAATGATTGACTATTTTATTCAAAATATTATCTATAAGTTCACATTGCTGATGTCTTCAGAAATGCATCGAATAAATAAAGCAAAGACAGATAGTATCACACAATCATCATCTTTGTCTTTACTATGCAATTTTCCCCTTTATTTAACAAATAGCTCTACATCATAGAAGTTGCTTTACAGTTGTTCAAAATGGAATTCTTATTTCTTCTTTCCCATAGTATCAACAAAATCTTGTCAAATGTACCTTCAGGATAGAACAGATTAGGGTCTTCTGTTCCTCTCTGCTTTAGCAGATTATTTCTAAGTCTCTTTTGCTGCTACCTAATAAAAAAAAATACATCCCAGCATAACTATTCTTAACTATAGCATATAAATAATTGTGTTAGTATAAAAACAATATATCTACAAATAAAATATGTATGTTAATATGCCTCATAATTTTATACATACATATAGCACCCTTTCATTCTGGGATTAGAAGAAAGTTTACTTAATGTACTTTTCCACTTAGCAGAAGATAGAATATAAATGCTCACTTTAAAAATTAGGGAATTCATTAAAAGTGTATTGCTGTAAGAACAGAAGGTATATTAAGCATGGAATAAGTTATAATATCTATATATATTGAGACTATACATTTTAGAAGGATAATATTGTTAAGCAAACTTCCCTAATAAATTTATCTTGAGGAATGTTAAGAAGCGATTATTCCTAATGTAATTTGACTATTTTAAGGTATGATTAGTAATAAAAAGGATTGACATATTTTTAAATTTTATTTGGAAAATGTATAAAATTCCAAAATTGAACTGAAATATTGCCACGCATAATTAAATATTATGACCAGCCTTACATGCATGAGTGACAATCTCCATGTCATAATTTTTAGAGACACCAAGAAGCCCCTATCTCTTTGTGTCTGAAGTTCTGACATTAGAGACTCACATCTTGAAAAAATGCAAATGCTCCAGGCAACGATAACATTATGAAACAATTCATCTGTGGATGTATCAGTTGTTCTTTTTATATCAAAAGAGGCCAGATCCTAGTTGGGTAAAAGAGGAGCTTATAGAAACTGGAATGTTCAAGAACCAAACTTCAGCTGTTGTCATAGTATAGCCTTGAAGAGATAATACTTTTATAGCTACAGATACAGGAAGGTTTTTCTGATTATTTCACTTGGTTATCTTTGGAAATTCTCTTTAAAGTGCCTGAGAGGCATTTTTTCAAAGTTATTTGATAACACATTACAATTTTATTAGACGGGAGGGACCACAGTAAATGATTTGTTTCATTATCTATAGGTTACATATTATTGTTTTTATACTAAAAATCAAAAGCAATGTGTGTTATTCATAAACCTTTAATTTGTTCAACAGATGAACAATGGTGAGTGAGTCCTTATAAATCTTACCCTCTGGTAGGGAGGCAGATAATACATAAGTAACTTGACAATTATGTAATTAGCACTGTGGTTAAGTCCTATGAAGGAGAGAAGCTCAGGATATTTGAACAGCACATATTCTCCAGGTCCGGAGAATAAGGGCTGCTCTTTCTGAGGAAACAACATTTAAATTAAGTTCTGTGCTAAGAGATGACTAGAAGATGACTAGGCAAAATGAGGCTGGAAGAAGGGAAAACATTTTAAGTAGAAGGAACCAAGGAAAGGTTGAGTAGTTGAGGGATGAAGCATTGACAACTAATGTATCAAGAGCATCTAAGTAGTTGGTCTATTGCAGAGGTACAAAAGAATTTGAGGAAGGAACTGGAGATTTAAATCAAACTTTGGAGAAATTAATGGGTGTCTGCAAATTAGCCAAGACAAGTTAGAGAGTCAGCATTTATCAGAAAATCCTGATATATTATCAGGGCCACAAGTAAGGAAAAGAAAATCAGCATCATAATAATATTGTTCATGAGATGACCCTCATATGAGTAAGGAAATAAAATATTATAGACCAAAATATGTAGACAGTTGTGTGAGTTATGCTTTCACTGCTCAATATATGCAGTGCGAAGGATGAGGATAAAGAGGAAGTTTACCCTGAATTGCCTCTTCATCCATGTAATCATTTCTCATATTTAAGAAATATTAAGGAAACTACATTAAACAACCTTGACTTAATTGTTTATTATCTGTTTACAATTAAACAAATGTAAAAAAATGTTTGCCAAATCACTTAGAACCACTTAGCTGTAGTTATGTGAAACATTCCTTGATTATTCTGATTCTAGTTGGATAAATAAGATTTTAGATTTAAGACTGTGACTCTCATAATTAGAAATCTTTGCAATAAACCTTAATTAACTGACTCCTATAACCCCTAAGAGCTATATTTGTAACCTTCTATTTTCTTAGTTTTTTTAAATAGTCTTTCAAGGTGTTTCATTTAGAGATCAAAACAAGAAAGCAACAAATAGAAAATATTGGATTTTAATCTTCAGTTCATGATAGGAAAACTAAGGTGTGTAGTTCAGTAAAAGGAATTATTCTGGTCAGAGACAGTAAGGGAAATGTTAATCATGGAGAGTCACCCTGAGACAAATTTTGTTTGTAGACATTCTGACATGTGCAAAAACCTTTAGGAGCCATGTTCAGAGTAAGAGACATGCTGAATTACAAACCAATTCTGCTGACATTTGCTAAAGGGTCTTTAAAGTAATTATTGTCTGAAGCAGATTGTCCAATTCATTGGCTTCTTAAAATATACACTCAGCACTCCAATCTGTGCCATTGGGTGACTATTCTGTATAGGTCTTGCCTTAGGCTCACGTTTTGATTGCACATTTCACATATTTGCTCATGAATTAATTGAACTGACACTGAAATAGATGAAAATCAAAAAAGTATTCATATATTTATAAATGTAATATGTATATTTCATTTACAGTTCCCTGCCTTTAGGTAATACAGTCTATTTCAAATGCCAACATTTTGTACATTGCTGGAGTAGGTAACTAGGGACACTGTAAACATACATGCATCTTTATATCTGCATTTTAATATATTTTATTTCTGGATATTTCTCACAGTCTGCATTGTGTTTTCAAAATTTTGACAGCAAATATTTTGTTTTCTAAAATCTGTGCATCTATTCAAAGTAAAAAAAAATTGTATGAAAGTTTTAAATGCTCACCAAAATACACTGAATATAAGCCATTGGCATGATAAGTTGAAAAAGGCAATAACCATAATTTAAAGTAACAGATATGCTGTACTATTTGTACTTTTTATATCTCTTAAACATAAGAAAATTATTGCATGTTTAAAAACTGCAGACAACTTTTCCTGTCTCCCCAGGAAAAGTTGTTTCTCCTCTGAAAGGTGCACTGAATATTTTATTTATGGACGATAATTGAAATGTCAGTCTAGTTAATCATAACTAAATAACTTTATGTTTCATCCAAATATTAAATTGTAATAGAGTC